GAAAAAGTTGACTTTTCTTTTGTTGCATGTTTTAAAGTTCTTATACCTACTAATAAAGGTTTGATTATATTGGATTTATGGATTTTTACTTGACTAAGAAGATCTTAGACAAAACTACAAAAAAATCAAGGTTACAAGAAGTCTAGTCTATTTGAGGATTATACTTATTTAAACACAATAATCCTAAAATAACTAGGTTGGATGGAGATCTAATGAATTGAATATTACTAAGCTATTGTGATCTTTAGTTGCTACATCTAAAAAAATTGTTTCATGGATAACATTGTCATATAGTAATACAACTATTAGGTGAAAGAAGAAAAAAAAATGTTTCATTATTGAAGAGCCTAATTAAAAAGATATAATAAAAAAAATATAAATAAAAGATAGGTAGGTAGTAAAATCTTGTAGTGTTAAAACTGTCTCTTATAAAAATAGATTCTATTTATTTTTTATAGTTGTAAATAAGCCAAAAAAATATAGATTAAAAAAATGATAGAAATAGGCATATTTAGGAAGGAGTTAGGAATTAATCACCTACACCATTATAAAGATTTTTTTTTTTTTTTTTTTTTTTTTTTTTAATTAGTTAAAGAATAAAATATAGAAGTAAACTTAAAAAGATATTTTTGAATAATCCAAATGATATAATATTATTATTAAGGTTTTGAGGGATTTTCAAAATAAGTGATATAATTAGTGGGTTTAGATTTTAAGAAATAAAAATAAGTTTGCAAATTTAAGGATTTTGTTAGTTTTGTAGCATATTTATAAGTAAAATTTTGGCACTTTGTTGTTGTGCTTATTGTAATTGTGTGTAAGAAATTTGAAGTTAATCGAGTAGTTAGATTGAAGGATATAAGAGTTTTGTAGGTTATGGATTCAAAAATTGGGATTTAAAACATTGATGAAGCTTTCTAAGATATATGTGAATCCACCAATTAGATTGAAATTTATTTTTGCTCAAAGGTAGTTAGCTTAACTTCCAATAATTTTGGAAGCAATTGAATGGTGAAATTAAGAAATCATGATTTGGAAATATCAACATCAAGGTTGGAAAAGGAGGCTGACTAATACTTGAGTGGAGTTTAGGGATTATCATTTCTTTGGTATGTGCAATCTTTTTCAAATTTTATTTATTTATTTCTAGCTTAATTGTCACAAATTTTATAAATTTTGAGTCAAAATCACTAATTAAAGTATTAATTAATAAATTTTTAATCTATTATAGGACTTCTTAAGAATTCGTTTAAGATTTAAGAATTGACTAAGGATTGATTAGGATTAATTAAGGATCCAAGATTTGATTAGGACTTAGGATTTGTTTAATATTTGATTAGAATTTAGGATTTGATTAGGATTTAATTAAAATTTTATTAAGATTTGCTGAAAATTACATTAAGATTGGATTAGGATTCAATAAATATTTCTATTTTTGATATTTTTTAAAAATATTTTAAAATTTATAATTTTTTTATTATATATATTTTATTAAGATTAACTTATAATTTTTATATATTTCTTTTTAAGTTCTTGATTTTTTTGGATTTAATTAAAGATTAATTAATATCACTATAATTTAATTAGAATTTGTTTAGAATTTTATTACAATTATTAAGATTATCTTGTTACAAGTTCTATTTTTTCTTCTATAACCAAGTCTCTAGTGCATTCTCAAGCAAACTTCACATAATATGATAACATCTTGGGAGGACAACAAATGAGACTCCTGAATCCTACAAGATAAAGACTTTGTGATTTTTTTGGTACCAAACAAACTTCTATTGTAAATTAATTTGAAGAATCTAAAAAAAGAATAGAACTTTTATTAGATATTACACAAGATTTTATCTATAAAATCCTTATTGTACCTAGAAAAACTTATTTTTTGATATATTTTCTTCTTTGGCAATTGTACTTTTTATTTTATGGTTGAATTGCTTCTTTGGATAATATTGAGCACTGTGCTTAAGTTTTCTATATTATAAGCATAAATCTTTTTGATAGTATTGAATTTTTTTTTTTGCTCAATAAGAAGCTTAAAATGTACTAAGTCAATTTGTATATATTATGATATTGATGAAAAAGCTTCTATGAACTTAGAGACTATTGGCATAGCATGATTTGTACTTCTCTAACCAAATCTTTGTTTTTGGCATCTTTTAAAGAATTGATTGTAGCATATAATAAATTACTCTAATGAGCATATTCTAATTGTTGAGCAATAAATTACTCTAATGAACATGCTTTTGGTATCATCAATAATAAATCTTGAATGTTATCTTTTAATCCATATCAAAATTGATTGTTAAGGACTTTGTCATTTCAATCTATATCACAAGTAAGATTTTAGAATTCTGCGACATACATAGTAGTTGAATGTGATCCTTATCATAAAGATACAATTTTGGTCTTTGCTATCCTTTGGTTTTCCAATGACTTTCTCCAAAAGTGGCCATAAACATTTTTAAGAATGAATTCAAATCATAAAGAAGATGTAAAAAAATTTCTATTAAAGATGCAAATCAAGAGAGAGCACTGCTATAGAAAAGTGCACCTATGAATCCAACTTGAGTAAATCTATAAGGATATTAGGAAGGATGCAATCTTAGATAGAGCTTTACTTGTTGTAAAAATCCTCTAAATTTTGATCTTGATCTATTGAACTTCTTACGCATACTTATCCTTGCATCACTCACATTTGAAGTACCATGACTTCTTGGATTAAGTTGCAAACTTAATTTACTTGCTTCTCTCAATTATACAACTTTGTTAGCATAGATTTTGAACTGCATTCTTGACTTCTTTCATAAATTTTAAAATACTACCTCCATGGTTGATATTAGAGATATATAAGATTTCTACCCTAATATTGTTGACAAGCTTATAAAGATCTACAATAGTTGCAAATCTATTCTCACTTTTGCTAAGTGTAGCATCCATAATTTTTTCTTCCATAGACAACTTAAACAAATCTAAAAGTCAAATTAAAAAAATATAATCTACAACCTCTAATATCAAATGAAAATTTCTACAAAAGAAGATAGTCCACTCTTTAAAGAAAACAATTGTTGTTAGAAAATTAAAAGTGAATTTTAAAGGTAGATAGTCTGCAATCTTTAAAACACAATAATAGAAGTGGAATAATTCACTCCTTTCTAGTACAAAATATGGACAACAAGTTAGCAATCTTGTCAAATTGTCAAAGATAGCAATCTCAAAGGACTAAAAAATTAATAGACTATCATGTCACTCAAAAAGACTAAAAAATCAATCTAAGATGGTATAATATTAAATTAGAATGGCTATTTCGAAAGACAAGAAGACTAAAAAGTCTTGAAATAAGACTAACAATTAGAAAGGCATTGATAAGAGTGAAGAAGACTTTACTCTTACCTTCATATATACTATCCAACTAGGAGCTATAGGACCTCCAACTCATATCCAATTTGCAAGACATGTGTCTTAACTTCCAAAGCAAGTTTTCTATATGTGTGCCACATTATTAGCTTATACTACAAGTTATTCACACGTGTGACATATGGCTAAGTTATTGGCCAAGTTTCTAACCTATTAATTAATTATAAACATGTATAAAGTCAAATACAAGTTTATCAAGCTTCTAAAAAGCTTTGCCATAACATAATATCAAATCTACCCACATTTATCTTCTATATAGCACTTCTTATCCAAAGAAATATATATATTTGTGATGTCTAGCTCCTCTTATCTAAGTTACTGTTAATATCAATTATATTTGTAGCAATATATTATCATTTCACTACAATAAATCAATGTCTAGTGACACAAAAGAAATCTAACTTAGCTTAAATAATATGATTTTTTGTACTATTCTAAATTAATAAATTTATTAATGCAAGCTTTTTGAAGCCATAGATGTCTTTTGCAATATTTAGATTAAGTAGTATTGTAACTACAATCTCTTCCACATTTGTAATTGTTAGTTGAATTGTTTAAATAACCATGTAAAATATATTAAGAGCCATAGATGTCACTCATAGGCTTTGTTTTCTTTCAATTGCTATCTTTGGACCTTTTGATTGTGTTAGATCTAAAAAACTAAGATATCTAATACAACTTCCATTAAGATGTCCATCTTTATATAAACAATTAGTTTTTTTTATTTTCTTGAAAGATTTTAAGTATTGTATATAATTACCAATATTAAGATCACTTCTATGAGGTTGTATCAACACAAAAGTTATGTGAATCTTAGCATTCTTAAAAGATTTGTCTCTTCTAGTTTATATTTGTCTTTAAAGTTATTCACTTTGTATTCTTCATGATTTGCTCATATTTTTGTTATTGACCATGTATTTTTTATCTTTTTTTCTCAATCTTAATAAATTATTTTAAGAAATATTTGTCTTAGATAATTTTGGGCAATTGTTCTTGGATTCTTAAAATTTGGTTACAAAAAAAAAATTCTAAACTAAACATTTAAACAAATAATTTTTGGAAATCAATGTGCATCCAATTCCAAGAAGTTGGACATGTCTAAAAACAAAATTGCTTGCTCTAATGGTTAGAGCAACTAATTCAAATAAGAAAACTAAAATGGCAACCCTCAGGACAACAAAACCCTTTGCTACCGTGCAAAGCCCAATCCCTCTGACATGATCTCCAACTGAAAACTAATGCCATATAGGGAAGAAAAAAACCAAAGGGATCACGGCTACCTCACGTCTCATTCAACCACAGACGACTAAGTTACGCAGCAGCGGCCCAGATAACCGTTGTAGGATGATGACGATTCTTGTGACAGCTTACACCGGAGAGAGGTGTTATAGCATGTGTTGTACCATGGTTGGTGATGTGCCGTGAATATGACGCCGTTATTCAACATTAAAACACAATCTAAACTTTCATGTGCCCTTTGGACTCTTAGTGTTTTTCAGTGAAGCTCGAGTTTGGCTGCTGGATGTATCACAAATATTTTCAGCAACTTACTGAATAATTGCCAAAACAGTCACAAGAGAGGAAAAGAATAACAGATAGATTTGATTACAATGCCAAATTGGTAAGCTCAGCGCTTCCAGGGTCCTAAAACGTCATTACGGATGTTAAGAAGCATGTCATCATCTTCTGTAGCATGCTATATGCCGATGTGTTTTAATCTAGTAGACCCTGCGTAGAAACACACACGAAATCTTCCAGGAAAAGGTTTACGAATAAAGTTCTAAATTCTAAATTTTGATCAAAATTCGTGACTCTTAAAACCTTCGACAGAAGATAAACTGGCCGATGGTGATGCTGACTCTACATTTCCCATTCCTCTTCCTATTTCATGGGTTCGTCTCCAGCCTCGGACAATGCATCCATGGATGGATCTCCTCTCTTTGAGCACATCTGGTCTGAGTCATATTTAGTTTGCTTTGACACACCCTCTAGCGTCTCATCAGCACCTCTTTTCCGGGGTGGTATGGCTGCAAACAAAGCTTTCCCCCAATCTCCCACATCCATGTACTGTAATAAGATGTCAACTACCTGATTGACCGTCAAGACCTGCATCAGAGAAGTCAATCAGAAAGCTAACCAGCTTGGAGAATTCAAAGGATTTTCCCCAAATTACTAATCAACAAAGCTGGACACTTCCGAACAAGCCAAGTGACCATGAGGTCAAGTTTGAAAACTTCCCCACAAGATGAAGAAACGATTGAGCATGGACAACGAACTTGAATGACAGTTCAAATAATCATTTCATAATTTTTTTCTAAAAAGAAAACGAGTTATGCAAGGCAAAAACAGCATCAAATATAAAAATAAATATGCAACCAGTATGTGATATCGTTTTGGTCCATTTCCTCACCTGAGAGCTTAGCATCTTCATATGTTCGCCGATTGGAAGCTTGGCAGTAGCAATGCCTTGGTTTTTAGCTTTTTCCGCAGTGATTCCTTTCCATCGATTGCGGTCTACCAATCCACCCACAATGTAGATTTTGGACTTGTCCAGAGTCTCTAAAACATTCTCTGAATCAGCTGTCAAATATACAAGATCCTTTTTCCTGTCCTCAAAGACATCTATATAGGATTTCTCTTCCCTATGCAGAAGCCAATTCTCAAATCCAGAATGCTTTTCCAAATTTTTCCGAATATCGCCAATGCATCCAGTTAATGACAAACGACAAGGAACTTCTGCCTTTCCATTTGCAGCATAGGAGTACATTATCTGCACGGCCTCCAGAGTATCAGCAGCTAACAATGAAGTGCACATTTCGACTGAATAAATGTGACCTTCCACGAGTCAACGTAACGCATAATGCTTGCAAAATAGTCTGAGACAGCTTAGTGTGCAATAACAAACCTGTTGACACAAACTCGACACTTCGTTGAGTTTCATCTTTTCGCCGAACTCAAGGTCAATGACGATATTCTGTCCGTCTGTCATGGCTTGAACAAGCTTGTCCTTTCGTGCTTTGCGTTCATCCTTGCGTGAAGCCCTCAACTCCATTCTTGCCTCTTGTGCTTTTTTTACCTCCTCTTCCGGAAGATTCGCAAGCTTTTCCTGCCACTCTCTGCGCTTTCTTTCTGTTTCTTTATGTCGCAACTCTTTCTCATGTGCCCTGTTTTGTAACTTTGCTTGCCTCATCCGCTCCTGCTTTGCAAGCTTTTTCAGAGCGTTTTTGGAAAGAGATTTAGACTCCTCTGGCAGAGGTGACTTGTGGACATCCACGCTCCCGGATAACGCGGGACGCTGCTCTGCTTGACGCGCGTTTGAGCCATTATTTTTCTCCCCGCAACCAGATACTTCCGGTAAATCCGCGGTTCGGTACACGGTTTCTGCCGATGGACCTGATGTAGCATAAAACCACTCGAAGACTATTAAACGTCTACCACCGTAATATATCACCATTGAGAGGAACTAAAAAATTGATCCATACAAGGGGATGACAAACTATAGTCCTCGTCCGCACAATCAAATGTACTAACAACCCTCAAAGTTTTGTACCTGCTTCTTCCTTCTCATCGTTGCTGTAGAGACAAGTCCCATTGGAAGCCTCCCTGCTTTCATTACCATCTCGTTGACTTAAGTTGCTTAACCTTTCCGAAGGTAAGTCTCCGTGCACGGCTGCAGGCACATCGCCAACTACTCCCACGGCAATCTGCACACTGGCAGGGTCGACTAGGGGATCTTTCTCAATCTTCACTTTTACTGCGGATCGTTTACCCACCTCTGCAGTACTGGCCTCCTCCACATACTGCTCGCTAATTTCCGCTATAACTGCATCCTGAGATTTAGTGATGTTTACATCCTTATGAACATCGACGGGAGCATCCTGCACACAACCCCACGGCAAGGGCATTGTTAAGAACAGTGGACCATCAAATCTGAAAGGCAAGCTGCGAATGACAATCCAAGAAAATTTGCAGCTGCTAACCCCTCGGACTCATCATTCTGTTGTTTCACGACTATACATGTGTGCAAAACTCTGCAATCGTCAAAGTGAATTGAAGATACGAGGCAATCCTGCCAAGTCTCCGGGTATTACTAGTCATGTCTAGATAATGCCGGAGAACAATTTGCAGTCGGGTGGATGTTACAACCCCAAAGGTAGCATAAAATAGTAGAAATCTACCTTTCTGTTACTTCGCTTAAAACTACCTTTCTTTTTCTTGGCTTGGCTGATTCGCAGGGTGGAGGCCTACAAAGCGGTAACAATGAAAAGTATCAGTAAATGTCTCTTTTAGTTCATCTAAACGAATGCTTTCTAATCTTACGAAAGGTTAATCCTGTCAATGACCACCAATGGTACGCCACGTAGAAGCCTGAGTAACTAAACCAGACCGCGAGAGAAACCCTAACATCCAAAACTTCAACAAATGCTAAGGGTTTAACATTCATGCAAAAATTACTATTCACCTGTCTCCACACATCCCCTAAGAATTCTAAAGTCTCGACTGAGAGACAGCAGCCAACAAGAAAATGCTACAAATGTCACTATATTCCAATCAGCACAAAACCTCTTCGGCACCCCATTGGCAGTCATTCTCAGGACTGAGCGCTCCATCACGGACACTTCTCAGAAAACTAACAGCTTACACCGTTAAACCCAGCAAGTTCAATACTAAGCGAAGCGCTCAAACGGCAGCACACCAACTACATCAAAAACATAAACCCTAGCACTACATGCACCCCGGTAGTTAATCTCTCCCGCTCCAACCACGCAGGAACATGTAATCTTACCAACAGCTAAACCAACATTCTCATGTCAACTACTCACCTCAGCTCACACATCAAAACCCTGGCCTGTAGCGACCAACGAATGCTAAGCTTTCAAGGACTATTTCAAAAACTCGCAAGCAACAGAAGCGAGAGAAATCATAGCACACACCTTAGAAGGCACCGAATGCTCCATGGCAAAGCAAGTAGTGAGCAAGAGAGGGAACGCCTCACGCCAGGGTTAGATCTCTGGCGTCACTACAACGAGGTGGGTGTAGGCAGTCTCCTTCCCTATATTTCGTGAACCCGCCTCTTCGGAGGTTTTGTAGGAATGCTCAGGACTACTGCAACCCATCACGGTTGGAGCCTCAACCTCTTACAATGAGGTCCTTTCTGAGGAGGTGGCAGATTACGTGGCGAAAACTTTCCTGATGGGACATCTCAAAATGCCATGTAGGATGGTCAGATGCCACAGCGGGAGTCCAGTAATGCTTAGTGGTGGTATACTTCGATCTACTTCGATCTCACCCATTTAGATTTGCGTGGATTCTGGAACCCATTTGTTCTGCATGAATTCCATCGTCTCAAATTTCACAGACGGTGGCTTAACGACTAGTGTGAGAGGACTTAAAGCAATCGATTGGGGCCATCCTGGAAAGCTGTGGGTTTTTTAGCTGACGGATAGTGTGTGCGAAAAAAGTTTTAGACTAAATGCTTTTTTTATTTATGAGGCTACAAGATGGTTTAATTGTTGCATCTCAGATTACGGAATGACCTAACTTTTATTTGGTTGTGTACCGACGTTCTAGAGGGTGAAGGCATGAATGTCGAGAAAAGAGGACGATTCAGGTTTTGAACTAACTTCTTTTTTCTCTAATATGAGGAGGTCTGGATGTGTCGCAGGTGTACCTCTCGATCTAGACGTTGCCTTTCTACGGCAATGTTGCTCAGTTTGCAATTTTCGGTTCGTCATCGAGACACAGATGCGGAGAAATAAAGGGTGATTTAAGGGTGTGTGTTAAGGTTTTTGGAGTGTGTGTACTTGCGGCGTTGAGCCATGCTCTGAGTGATTATTAGCTCAATATTTGACCAGTCGAGGGACAGAAGTGTTTCAGATTTTGCATACGAACGGTAAGAATAACGTCACGGTGGCTAGCAAAGCGGAACCCAACTTCCACACCCACGACCTTTAGTTCTTCTCTAGTCGTTAAATTTGCCCTTGCGAGCGCACTGGTACGCAATCTTCCGCTCTTCGAGCAACTTAACGGCCTCGGTTCTGAATTCTCCCCAGGGTTGGATTCAGCCATGGCTGGACTTGATAACCGCCAGTGACTCCATTTCCATTATACTTACCATCTGGCTTAGCAGATTCCATAGCTCATTGAGCATAATTGTATTATCAACTTTTGGATGCTATGTTTATCCTTTTTCAATCTATAGCTTCCAGAGATGGTATGTCCAAGGAGTTACAAGACTGTATGACGAAATGGCAACCTCGTACATGAGATTCCAAGTCCTCCAAGGCCTCAACAGAAGGCCTTCATGGTATCAATCAGTTGCATCAACAACTCTCGACTCTCTCACGAATTGTTTCTTCTAAACCGATGGGCTCTCTCGCCTTAAAGCATGCATTTCCAGCCCTCTGGCGTTCCTGAGAGATGACTATCTAAACATCAGTGACACTGTGACGCGCGACATCAGAGTGCCATCTGTGGCTCTCAACTCTCACATGGTTGTCAAATTCAACTTTGAAGATATAAAAGATGAGATTCGTAGCCATCCATTGCGGTAGTTTGCTACTTTCATGAACTCAACATGATGCATGTTCCACCTATCTTGCATATATGAGAGGTTGCTCACACTGTGACTTCTGTAATGAAGGTGTTGATAAGAGGATTAGGATCCAACTCGAAGAAAGCAGACATGAACAAGATGACGAACCACCGTGGAAAAGACATAGACAATGAGATTGGATTTGATATGCTTGTGCAAATCAGGAACGCCAAGCGATCTGGTAAGAATCCGACTTACAGTTAGTAGATATGAAAATCTGGGTTGTATGATTGAGTGAGAATCCCTCTATCCATAAATAGGAATTTTAAGCATATCTTGCAACAACAAAATATCTTAGCAATACATGTTCATCTTTCTAGCGAGCCAAGAATATCATTCTTAAAGCACACGACAAAGCCATCACTCATCTTGTTTGGTCCAGTCATTTTCCATTTTCATTTATGTGTATGAAGCACTGGGACAAACTAAACCATCTGGTTACCATTTGCAGAATGCTGGAAATATCTTTGTGAATATGGAAAAGATAAAAAGAAAATTGGTAACCTTGCTTTTTGTCCTATTGTTTTCTACATTTAAAGCAAATGTCCACCTTTTCCTTGTTTCCTTGCCTAGTAGTTACAAACCACACAGACGTAATTCTCTCAATCTACAGTCAATTTTTTACGGTTTTTTAAATATTTTTTTTCTCACTGTCATATATTTGATGAATGAGGTCAGCTTAATCTCAATGTTTATATATCTAATCTCAAAGAAGTTCATAATTTTTAAATAATCGACATTTTTACGTTTATTAGTATAGTACATCCCTGTCCCACTAACTTTCCTAACTTTTGTCACCTTTAAAGTTCTTCTTTGGTATTGAAATCTGTCGTCTCTTTACAGGATATTAAGCATAACCATATTTGGCATGATGACTTAGCGCCCCGCATTCACAACAATATTTCTACGGTGGCAATTTGTTCAAATTTTTCAAACTCATTTCCTGCACACGCTAAAAAAAACTATCCTTTTCGTAGCCTTAGGTATCTCTCAATGCTCAGAGACACACATTTCTTAGTTGGATACAGGGAATACAAATCTACCAAATTGTATACTACCAGAGCAGTAAAAGCTAAATAAAGCTTGATATTGAGGCTCAAATTTGACTTATACAACGATTGTAGTAAACCAACCGACCATTCAGGATACTGAACCCAAAATCTTGTGCTTCTTTTCGGGTTGGAAGGACCAGCACTTCTGGAAACCACCGCTTTGAATATGGTGAGATCCATATTTTGCTGGTGAGAGACTTTAGCACGCAGCTGATGCTGTTGCACAGTAAGACAAAGCAATATTACTTTCAGTAGGAGAATTCAAGCAAACACTTGAATCCACGAAAAAAAAAAAAAAAAAAAAAAAAAAAACGACTCTCTAATGAGCTTCATGTAGAGGTTGATGGTGTCATAGCAGGAAGGAAAGCCACGTTGGTCACGATTACGAGTTGCACGGTGTAGAGAGGCATTGTCGAGCACAATCATCGATTTCCCATCGGTTCGTTGCTGGGTTACGAAAGCTGGCCTGTGGCAGGGTGAATCTTTTTGATGAAAAGCAAAAGAAATTCTATCACCAAAATAACCGTCACTATGAAGCTGAAAAGAACGAATAAGCTGAAAGTCATGACAAGCTTGTACACAATTGTATAATCACAGAGCTGTTTATTTCGTCACAGTAATCAAGTCAAGCACCACATGACACATTTCTAGGACCAGAACTTATCCTAGTGATGCAGAAGGTAGTAAAAATAAAACGAATCACTGGAACTTTGAACCAATGCACACAATTCTGTGCCCAAACCAAGGACAGCCTCAGATTTATCGTTGGAATGAACAATTACTTGATAACCAATCATTTTCAGTGAAGGGAAATGACCACTTCGCTTTGATGCTCTTTTCTAAATCATACGAGTGCATGGCGTGTACTGTACACGCGTCGGCAAGTTTTACAACCCAAATCCAACGTCCTTCCACACACAACCAGATCCCTAGCCTATTAAGCCTGCTCGGACGAGAGAGAGAAAAATAAAACCAACAGAATCATTTGGGTTTAATTCCACTCCCTTCGTCAGACGAGGAAATCTCATGCCTACAAATGCTGTTCGAACAAGTACAGCTGGTGAAAATTCAGGATATTGAAGTATCGAGTTTAGGATGTTGAGGTTCAGTGTCAACATCCATAGAAGCAGGCTCATCAAGGGCCTCACCGGATGGGGAGCTAACCGAATTTGCCATACAATCCTCAGTATTCATGGCAGCAGGCGGATCAGTATTCCGGATAGTGGTAACAGTAGAAGTGTTGGTAATAACTGTGTTGGCAGTGCCGTCCTCAACGTCAACAGAAGCATCAGGGTCATAACTCCCATTAGTAGCATCTCTGTCTGCACTTACATGAATGGCATCAGTAACAGCCTTCCCTGTGTCATCTGCTGCAACGTGATCGGATGTTGCAGCAGCAAGGGTGTGGTTTCCAACAGTGGCATCAGTCACAGCCTTTGTAGTAACATCAACAACATCATCAACAGAAACATTAACAGCATTATTAACAGCAACATCAACAGCAACATCAATAGCAGCATCAACAACAGCTTCCTTCAAGGTTCCCTTTTCCTCTTCAGGATCGTGCTCAGCAGCTAACTCTTTCGGGATTTTTCCATTTTGGGATTTCAGTAATTCCAGGTATTCGCGCAGCTCTGTCTTGTATCTCTCTTTGTCTTGCACACCCCGGTCTTGATACAGCTGCACACTCAGGTAAGAGTTTACCATGAGAACAACGTTTCAAGCATATCCATGAAACCTAAGTTTGATTGGAATATAAAGCCTAACTTTCTCTTAGATGACGATAACAACACCGTTAAAATCATAACCTTCCAGTTGAAGAGAAATATACTCAGCGAACTCATATGATTCGGCATCAAATAAGGATCAGTGCAAAACAAAGAAAGCGACACAAGAGCGCTTGCCACTAGGGAGAAAACTATAACAGAATTCTCACCGTCTTCTCCTCTTCTGTGAGGTTATTCCAGGCATCCCCAATCATCCTGCTCAACTCTTTGTCCTTTTCAGGATGCAAGGCTTTGAGCCTTGCACGCTGCTCAGCAAAGAAAAAGTTATACCCCGTCCGGTGTGGACGTGGTGCATTTGGATCCTTTTTGGGCATGTCATCAGTGCGTCTGCGTTTCCGCTTCAGTCCTCGGCGACTAAATTCCTCTCGAGTAATAATAGGTTCCGCACCTAATGTCGCTGGATAATTAGGGATATAGGCATGTTGTGGAGCCCTCTGCATAGCTGGAACATGATAAAGCACCCCTCGCATTTTCTCTGTGCCCACTGTGACCGAAACAAGAAATCCATGCTCGAACTTGCCTTCGATGGTAGTGCGTACTGTGAGCCCAATCGACTGAGCTGGATCAATAACTGCAGTGTAGTGGCAGATGCAAACGTGGGTCAAAAATTGATCATCTTAGCGCACTTACAGTAATATAACTTAAAAGATATAACCATCATCAATGCATATGATTCAGTTAAATTTGCAATTAATTCAACATGAATGGAATCAAGATGTGCAGTTTAAAACATCTAGATACATAGCTTAACTCAGAAGCACCTTATACTGACCAAGATAATTGAGGTTTTCAAATTGAAATGAAGAGGACGTCCAATACAATGAAATAATCAACCGATATAAAACCTGGCATTGATTGAATTGGAAGAATCTTTCTTTTTCTGGTTCTCTTAAAGCCCGGTTGATCCTCTGTTGGTGTAGATGCTATATCTACTGCTGAGTTGCTCCTCTTCACACTCATGGGACTTGGCCCAGGCATCGATACTGCCAATTCAACACAAGTAAAACCAAGTCTTAGGCATTTGCTCCTAAGCTAAGGACGGCAGCTAGAACATAATAGGTTTTCTGTGATTATGTTGGCAATATTCTGTCATAATAAAAAATATGTTAAAAGTAAATAAAGAAATGACTCGTACATGACAATATATCTTGTCGACGAAAGCTGAACTAGTCAAATGACAGAAGTGAGCACATACTGGGAGGTGGAATCAGAGGACCCTTCTTTCCAAAGAAATAGGCTTGCTCGAAGTAATAAAGAAGTCCAACATAATATTTCCGTAATATATACGAGGCACTAGTGGTGTTTTCGGGAAACTTGAAACAGTTTATGACTTCTTTCCATTTCCGGTCTTTGATAACCTGCTCCAACATGAATTATTTCACTCTTAGAAGCCTGCATATCTGTTGATGATTTACCAACTATTCAAGAACTTGTTGCATAGCGATTGTGGAATCCATACATAAATAATAACATTGAGGTCTTTATATCTACGTAAATTCACTCACGAAAAAGAGCGCTCGATTAAATCATCTCATTTCACACATTAAATCTTACAGAAAAAACACTTGAGAGTAACAGGTAACACAAGAGAAAACCTTTCAAAAAGGAAAAATTCAAACAAAAAAATACCTGCTCCAAACCACCACGGGATGTGACCTCCACATATAAAAGGTGCAAATCAAGGTCATTCCCTCCCAGCTTGGGGATTCTGCACAACAAAGTATTCGAAATGCCTTGAGCATCACGTGAGGTGAGCACCTATAACTGGAACAAACACCTGTGGAACTGTTGCTACCAACGAGAACTATTACTGACCCACAAGAAATAATGACCGATATACTCCATACATCAACCACCAATTTTACAGTGTGTACGACATTTAAGCACAACAGATTAGTAACTAATAGCTTCAATTTGGGCAAGTTCCTTGAGAAGTCAGTCGAACACAAAGTCGGGTATACTCGAAATCTTATGATAGCCAATACAATCATGATCGCAACTGAGTGAAAACAATTGTAGCGAATATTCGCAGCTTTTCTCCACATCTAATCTAACAAGGATTAAATTAGCAAGCGTTTTGGTAAGCAAGAGACGGAAGACGAAAACAATGGTGTACAGAGAAGCAAATGGCCTGAGAATATCTCACCCTGCTATGCTTTCTTGAAAGGTCTTTACCTCGGCAGCCCTTTCTCTACCCCCTCTACCTTTCTTCCTGCATCATAAGAGAAATTCGAGAAAACTATTAAAGAGAACAAAGCATTATAGCTAACTGATGTACCTATGAAGATATGTAAAACATGCGCGACACGCGAAAACTTTCTCGCGCTACAAATACACATGCTCTCATTAGCTACGAAATTAGGATGATCGGTACTCTTACGTGATACGCGTTCCAAGAATGGTATGGAATTTGTTGAGAGCGTCAGCGAAAAGTTCCTTATTGGCAACAACTTCCTCGTGCTTATAAACTGCGGGAGGAATCGACTGCCCCGCTAACATAGAAATGCCGGGAATACTACTTGTATCCCGGGCCACTGTACCTCCAGCAGGACTGCTAATGTTATCAGTAACAGATACTGGTGTCAATAGAAGACGCTCGCTCACAAGCGCAGTGCCATTCTGCTCCGCCTTTGCAGCTCCGTCCAGCAGCTGCTTTGGTAAGGATGGATCTGGGCTATCCACAATCCCAGACAACACCTGATGTGGTTCAACACACGAACCAGATCGATGGAATTCCACCTCCACTTGAGGTACGCCCGGATTGTTACTTTTTACCATAAATTTAGACGCGTCTGGAGACCCCTCAAGTTCACTGGTGTTATGTGCCGAAAGAACTGATGAACCATGAGACCAAGGAAGGACTTTGTTAAACATCGTCATCGCAAGACATCAAAATGTAGAGCTGATATAAGCGTAGTCGGTATTGAGCAAGAACAAACTGGTATTTGTGTGTGTTCAAACAAATGAGAGAAGAACTTGAAGTTCAGGTCCAGCAAAGGCAAAAGCTACATATTTTTTCCTGACGAAGACCCTCGGCACGTGAAATGATAAAATCTCAGGAATCCATCCTCGAATCTCCTTACCTATTCCCTCCCTGGTTTCATCAACGTCCATTTGCCTTAAGGTGCTGACCCTATCCAAAGGCGGATCTTCGTGCACAACCGTGGGAATCACTTCCTTTTCTCTCGCAGCAATCTGCACACTGGCACAGTCGACTACAACATCTGGCACAAGCTTCATCACCGCTGCAGGCCGTTCACCTGCTTCTGCAGTGCTAACCTTCTCCAAGTACTCCTCACCGATATTCGATGTGGCTGCATTCAATGTGGCTACATTCTCAAGATTCGTGATATTCGCACTTTCGTGAGTATCGACGGGAGCATTCTGCATTCAGGCCCACGACAAGAATTTCGGTACATGCAATGAACCAGCACATTTAAAAACAAGTTGTCGAAAATGTACTGGAGCACGAAAGCAAGAGCAGAAATATTCTGACATCCAGATTAGTCGTACACCCAATTATTTCTTTCGTGGTGGAAAAAAATAAAACCGACTACCAGCACTATTGAAACCAGTGATGACATCGGCCCAGTCCATTTCTAAGTTGGTATATTCCAAGTGTCGCTGTATCCATGTGTCTGTTACCGTGTGCAATCAACGATGATCATAGCATCTTAAAGGTATTCCCTGAAAAGTTGAATTTAATAAAAATTGGAATCAAACTGTTAGCACTAAAACTCTAAAATTATTCAAGCCTAACGTTCCTTCAAACTAATCATATGCGTGTGGGAAAGTAGAAAATGATAGACGCAGAAGATCGAGATCATAGAATATCATCAAACTTCAAAATAACTACGAGTCATGCAACTTGCAACACCTAAAACCTGTCGAGCCGCTCAATCGTCATAATTTCGAAATCTTTCGATCCTAGATTTGCCTGCGAAACTCAACTAAACCAAGCCAATCTTGGAACCTATGAAATCCTCAAACCAACATGGAAACTGAATGATGCCCTTCCAGGACATGGAACACACGAACTGCAAAACTCTCAAAGCCACAGAGATCAAAAGAAAGAATCTAGAAAGAATCTTTTGGGAATCGTCTTGGAGGCTCCTATCATGTCGATGACCGATCACCCAAGATACTCCAACGTTCACGAAAATAGCTCCCCACGAACGGAACCCAACCTGATCACCGTGACACTTCATTGCTGCGTTTTGAATATCACTTCTACATTCTCGTATTCAAATCAAGATAGGATACTTCGAAAAAAAAATTGGAGCTCAGCACTCATATTATAAGACCAACATTTGAATTGGAATCATCTCCTAGTGCACAAATCCACCATCCCAACATGTCCTCCTTCACGACAGCAACCCGGGGAAAAACCCTGAACGTAAACCCTAAAGTTTCCATCCTAAAATACCGGTCGCGCTCCCAACCAGTCGGCTACTTCCAACTCAAATATGAAAAACCAGGCAATCTTGTCAACTAAATCGGCATCCTGGTGCCAAGGAATTCACCCCCAACCAAGCACCGAAAATCACTCATTGCATCAAAGAAATGCCAAGTTTTCATTTCCAATCTGAAAAGCCTACGAGCAAGAATCCTCTCCCTTCCGCCACGAAGAAATCGCAAATGACAAGAATCTAAACACGTACCTCAGCAGGCACTGAATGCTCCATGACTAAGCAAGCAATGAACTACAAATCGAATGCCAGGCTTTCAAGCTTTGCCGCCACAACAAGCAAGCTAAAAATGTGGGTGCGCACATCCCACCTTCTCCGTCTTGATGCTTGCACACAGGAGAGTTTCCGCAACTACTACATGCACAAGGAGAGAAAACAGGGGGAGTTGGCAGATGACGTGGCAAGTGTGCACTGGTGGAAAGCGACTAAATGCCACATGAGATCAGCCGAAATTTCGACGCTGTGTCCAGGTTATCCAAATGAAGCCAACTTGTCGCGAATCCACGCTGCTGTAATGGCAGAGTTCGAACCGGCGGCAGGACAAGTCGGGATGTGAGAGTGACCTGGCCTTTTATGGGCCACAGAGAAATCAGGCAACTCGGCCCTCATCACATGCGATCCGATACTGGAACTGCCATTGCCTGAGAGCCACCAGTTTGATCAAATGGTTGTCTGCACTGTTTGGACCGTTTACCCCTCTCCTTCGGCTTTGTCCAACTTAGTCCGCGTCTAGGCTACTGTCCTCTAACTGAATTGATTTTGTAGGCCCGCCATATCTTTGTTACACAGGATCGATATTTTCTGTAGCATAAACTGTGGTTTGCGAGTACACGCGGGAAGGGAAATGGAGGGAGGATAGACTGAACGAGTGTAGGAGAGATGGGAGTGGAAGAAACTCAGCAGTATTCGGTTGTATCATCTTGTAGATGTCGAACAGAAGGTGGTGCTTGTGCATGTTTAAGACGGTAGAGTTGCTTCAAGCGACGGGTGACTGAACACAGATACGAGAGAGTGGCAGCGGAGGAGGTTTAGCGACCTCAGGGTCGTGACAGCCAGTGACAGCAGGCACATGGGGCACTTCAACCCTGGCGAGCCTTCCGGGTACATGCTTCATCTCTGTCTGTTGGTTTCTGTGACGGCGATCGTTGTGTTTTAGTGTAGAGTGTTTCGCGAGCTAGCACCTCTTCGCGAACTGGGAGCTGGTAATAGTCCACTCGAGTATGCTGCAGATGGTTGTGTCCTGCACAACGTACATCTCTCACATTGCATCGTCGGAACTCTCGAACTCAACAACGGTGTACTGCAAGTGCACTAAGTTACCAGCTCTCAGGCAGCAATGCTAGCAGTGGTTTCAATCTACTTCATCCGGTAGAAAACATCTGTCCTCCTAAGCCCTTCTCAAAACTTTGCTTCATATTATGCACCTGACAACTAAACTTCTCGAATGATGAAGAGGAAATTCTCCTCTTATCCTTTACACGATGTTGACGTTGACGGGCTTTAAACATAGTTGAATGCTCGGAGCATACGTGACGGCGTGCTACACAGTGCTTCCGGTAAGTTCTATGTTACAATACAACACAGATCTACACGAAAGAATTACCTGAGATTCGCAGTTAAGGTCAAACCGCAATCAAAACTTCAAACAGCATGCAGGGTCCGAGCTACCTGGTGGAGCTAGCTGCTAAGAAAACTCGGGAAACGAAAAAAACAGAATTTATTGCATTAGCTCCTTTCTCTTGAAATTGTGTATTCTAGACTATAGCGCTACCGCTACAAGTTTGGCTTTGACAGTAATCTCGTATGACCACCATCTGAATGATTCCTAACCGTTTTCATTCTTTGGACTGATACTGCAGGATGTACAGGCTTGATCCAACTCTCATCCCGCAGCATTCACCACTCGCTCAGCCACGAATGCTTTCAGTGCTGCCTGAGGCAGCAAACCGCCTCGACTTAACCTCCGCCATTGCCCACGAACTCCAACGCATAAACAGCCAACCGGGCTGGCTTCCCTGGAACCAGCAATTAGGCGAGATTCAATGTTCGCATGAGCCCGCAAATGGCTTGCAACTCCCGCCTGACTCGCTTCTATCTCATCAGAACGCCGGCAGCGCAGGCCGACCCATTCCGCAGTACATTCCTCGGTTCGACGAAGCGCTGGGGCCTCCCGCCCAGCAATTGCCAACGAGATTGGACCTGTACAGCCCCGACTTGGAGCCGCTTGCAAGCGCACATCAGGGGTTCTACTCGAGGGCTGACAATGGAGTACCGAGGGATGTGGGCGCGCATCAGCGAACGCGACTGCACCCAGGCCACCAGGTACGTGGACGGTGCACCGGGAGCGAAGGGTGAGAGCAGGGAGGGAGGTTGTGAATTGGTGGGTGTGCGCACGTTGGCGATGGCGATTGCGATTGCGATTGTGGTGTTGTGATGAAGAGATGGCGGGGGAGTGCATTGGTCTGAAAGGGGATGTGGTGGGCAGGCGTTGGACGCAGGTGGGCGGGTGGAGTCCATGGCGCGATCGGTGTCGCCATGGATCGAGCGCATGATGCAGGCGGACGTGACGCCGACGCCGAGCCCGAGCCTGGGCATCTCGACGAGCCTGAGCCTGTCGCAGAGGGGTCTGGGGGAAGCGAGCTGCGTGGCGAGCCAAACGGCGGAGCTGCAATCGTGTCACAGCAGCGACGTGCAGCGGAGCGCGTTCCAGTGCGGGGTGCAGCGCGATCAGTCGACGGCGGAGGCGTCGGCGGAGCTGTGTACGGACGACGAGGACTGGGAGGCACGGCCTTTGGACGAGAAGCGGAAGAAGAGGTAAGGCGGACAAGGAGGTTGAGGTTGAGGTTGAGGAGTGTGGGAGTTGTTTGCGAGCGGATTCGGAATGGCGGAATGATGTGTTAGGCGGAGTGTTTAGGGTGTGAGGATGGTGAGGAGAAGGAGCGGAAGTGGAGATGTGGGTGTGTGACAAGGTGGTGGTGGGGCACTTGGGTGGGAGCAGGATGTTGTCGAACAGGGCGTCAGCGCAACGTTCTCGGCAGAGACGGCAGGAGCGGCTGGACCAGCTGGAAGTGCTGGTGAACACATGACATTGTCAACTGCGTCGTAGGTGGTTAGGTGCAGGGGGACAGAGTGGGATGGGTTGTGATGAGCAGCGGGTGAAAGAGTGGGCTGCGGAGTAAACGGCGTGGGGATGGGGTATGTGTTGTTGTGGCAGACCGCACAGCTGCGGGTGGAGAACTCGACGTTGCAGAAGAAGCTGGGCGTGGCGGTGCAAGTGGCGAAGAAGTTCGAGGACGAGAACAAGGCGCTGCAGAGGAGAGTGGAGAGGCTGAGCAAGGAGCTGGAGAGCGGGAAGGCAAGGATGCCGACAGAGCGGGCGTTCGACGAGTGCGCGAGCAGCCAGCAAACAACATGCACAAGCTCGTGCGAAATGGTAGGGAGTGAGTGTTGGTGTGTTATTGGTCGGGGGAGTGGAGGGGCAGGTTGTGGATAATTGCAAGTCGTGGGAACATGCACAAGCTCGTGCGAAATGGTAGGGAGTGAGTGTTGGTGTGTTATTGGTCGGGGGAGTGGAGGGGCAGGTTGTGGATAATTGCAAGTCGTGGGGTAGAGTCGGGAATGGGAGGAGGCAGCGGGTGATGACGGGTTGTGTGTGAACAGGTGGGGGGGCGGACGTCGGTGGATCCGAACGTGATGCGGAGTGGGAACGATGGGGAGTCGATACCGTCGATGTCAGCGGGGAGTGCAGCAGCCACGGAGACGGAGACGAAAGGAGTGGAGGGGGCGAGCAATGGGAAGCACGGCGACGGGGTGAGTTCGGTGCGGAAGTCGCTGTCGGAGTGGCGGATGGGGAAGAAGCGGACGTTGGAGGAGTCGGTTTCGTTCGGGGGATCGCACAGCGCGCCGATGGGGAATTGCATGGGGCCGGGGTCGGCGTCCGGGGAGTTGTGGACGAGCTCACACACGAGCCTGGCGCGGGCAGGATCGCCAGGGACGGGGGTAGAGAGGGAATGCGGGAATGTGCTGGAGTCGATGAGGTCGCCGTTCGGGGGGTCGTTCGGGATGGAGGCGACGATGAAGGAGGATGCGAGTCAGATGGATTGTATGGAGGCAGATCGGTGGTTGGAGTTCGCGGAGTGCTTCAAGTGAGGTGTTGGGGAGAGCGGATGGTGACACCGCTGAAGCTCAGTGATGCTAGATTGTGGAGAGATGGAGGGGAAGTGGAAGGGTGGTAGCTGGCAGGAGGATAGATGAGTAAGATTTTGAAGATGTACATCATTCATTAGCTACTTGAATAGTGATTACAGGTTCCTACAGTTATTCTGCCTGCTTGGAGAGAGATGCACGCTGTTGCGTACTGAATTACATCCAATATCGAAATATGCTCAAGAATCATGGGACCACCTTGGTTTATCTGGAAGTAGCATCGTCCATGTATTGCAAGCCATTGGGGGTGGCGTTGTGCACCATTCGATGTCAGTCTCCACTCCTCACGGCGGTGGAATTCCGATGGAGCTTATGGGTGTGCCTCCTTGACCGGCATGGTTTTTAATCATACGCGGCGCGTGACAAGTGTGGTGTTCTCCACCAACCCACTACGTCTTCCCGGCTGAATTTGACTTTGACTGCAAATATCTTTTCCTATTTCTAACACGTGCTGGTGGTGGCCGATTCCATTTGCGTTCCGGATTCTGCAGCGCCATCAGTTGTGCGCCGGAAGTGCGGGAACGGAACTTTCGAGAGAAGCCGCTGGGGAGGTGTAGATACCACCACCAATGAGGATCGTTGGCGCTTGCATTGGATGGGCCACCGTTTCCTCGAGGCTGCTGACATGGGTGTTGGCCTTTGGCAGTGGCTCGTTATGAGGAATGCTCTATGAATGTCTACGTGTTTGTAAATGAATGCCCGAGGGCCATTTGAAAATTATTGGCCTGCCGAACACTTGCTGTTGGCAACGAAACCAAATTTTTTGTAGTCGGAGATGGTAACAACTGCTTTTACTCTACTTTCATGGTATTCAACTTTGTCTTTCCCGAAGAATTTACTTAGCCGAAACAACCTCTCAGAAAAGTTTCATTGATTATATTTTCGAGGTTCTATTTACAAAAATTGCCTAGTTAAAAAAAAGTCTCGTAACGTTTCAATGCTTTTTGATTACCAAAAGAATTCATAGACACCTTCACAACCTGTATGCAAAAGAGCTGGAATTAAAACACAATTTGTGTGCATCTTGCATGTGTATAATCATCTAGAATATGTTTTTTCATTCTAGTAAGTCATGTATAATTTTGTGAATGCAAACATTGATACACATTCATACTTACATGCATACAGTTAGACTGCATCTGACTTGTAAGAACTAGTGATGCATAAATTTGAGATTATCACTTTTCAGAAAGCACAACACATAAAAATTATGTACACCTCAAAAGTAATGTTTAGTATACACACATTGTATTATTGGAATGCAAGGGTTATATTTAAACCCGAATAACTTCGTGAAGATGAGATGCACTCAATTTCAATTAGAAAGTGAAGACGAGGAACAAAAGTAAAATACTTCTACTTGACCATGTGTGTCCAATACGGCATCACAAAATATAGTGCAAAACAAAGTACCCTGAAATTTTATTGACAAAGAGGACCAAGTCAAAGTAAGATAGAATACTATTAAAGAGTATGGTTTTATAAACAGTAATATATATATATATATATATATGAACAAATAAATCAGAAAGATCAAATATAATTAGAATAAAAAAAATTAGTTGTTATTATAAGTGTAACATATTGTTTAACATTCTAATGCTAAGTCAACAACATGTTATTTTTAATTTTTTCCAGAAGAAGAAGAAAAAATAAATAAATAAATAAACTTCAATAACATATTGTGTGACTTAAAACTACAGTTTTAAATTAAAATTTAATACTTTTGCTTCTAATAAAACAGATTCTAAAATGTTGAAAACTATAATTTTTAATGCACTTATGGTTACATAGTTTTGTAAATTTGTTGTGTCATTTTTTTACATCTAGCTGATATTTATTATCATTTTTTTAAAAAAAAATTAAATCAAAATTTTAAGATTTTTTATTTTTTTATTTTTTTAATCTAAATATTTTCTCTTCATTTGTTATTTTGATGTACATATTTTCATAAATATTTTTTTATGAAAACAAGTCAAGTTCAAAAACATTTCTTTATCAAAGTTAACTGCACTTAATATTAGACAATAAGAAAAAAATGTGGAAATATATTAGTTTGATTAATACTTACTTCATATGCAATTTTTTATATAAGAAAGCATAGGAGAGATAATCTAACAAGATAAATCAGAAGAGACAAAAATCATCTTTGATAGGTTACATATTTCATTGTTTTTATCAAAAGTGAAGCAAAAATGAAGCAATAACTCAACTTTTGATCAATCAAAGATCAAATCTGCATGTGTTGTAGATTCTTGAGAGTAGTATTGTAAAATCACTAGGTAAGGAGCTTTGAAGATCTTGATTTTTATTTTTAATAAATATTTTTTAGTAAATATTTATGTGGCCAATAATACAAGTTTCTATTAGTTTTATATAATTAATATAGAACCTTTATTAATTTTACTATTTATTCTTGCATTTGAATTTGGTTGTACAACTACATAAATCCAAATTGCCTTTTGTATTCATAAACATAATTTATATATAATTTGCTTAAGCAAATTTAAATGATTAGTTAATTCATAGATGATTTATATTTATATTTATATTTTTTTTAAGGATTTTTTATTCAATACATATTTTATTTAATAAAATATTATTTCTTTTCTTATTAATATTGTTTAACAATGTAATTGCTACTATTTTAATTTAAGATTACATTAGACTATATACAAATTGTAAATGTATTTGATGAGCTATATTAATGTTATAAACTTTGATTCATTCCAAAAGATTGTTTTAGAGTTGTAACTTTGATAAAGATTCTTTGCTGTTATTCCTCTTTTAGCTTTTGCAACTCCAATTCTAATTCCATGTGTAATTTTAATGTTAATTTTAGATGGAATAAAACCAATAAGTTGTAATAATTTACAAAACCTTATTTAATCTAATAATAAGAAGTAATGACTTAAAATTTTGACATGAAATTGCAAAGAAGTAAAAAAAAATAATGAATATATTTTAAAAAAATAATAAATAAATAAATAAAAGACTAAATATAAATTATTTTATAAAAAAAAATGTATTTATTATTTTGATTAGTTCAATTTAATATTTATTAGAAAAAAAACATTTAAAAAAATTAAAACATGTTAAACTTCTTTAAATATAAATAATCATTATATTTTTATTTTTTTAAAAGAATAAAATATTATTAAAAAATAAAAATAAACATTAGTACAATATAAAAAAAACTAAAATATGTGCTCAAAAATAGATATCAAGAACATTAATTTTTAAGAAAGAAAATTTCAATACATTATTCTATTACTTGAAAAGACTAAAAAATCACAAAAAGATGGTATAATATTAAATTAAAATAACTATTGCCAAAGATAAGAAGATTAAAAAGTCTTGAAATAAGACTTTGGACTAGAATGGCATTGATAACAGTGAAGAAGGGTTCACTTTTGTCTCTATATATACTATCCAACTAAAAGCTACATAGCGACATCCTATAGGACCTCCAATATGTGTCTATTTTATAAGATATATGTCTTAACTTACAAGGCAAGTTTCTTATATCCACTCCACATTGTTAGCTTGTACCACAAGCTATCCTTATGTAGAATATATGACTAACTTGTTGGCCAAGTTTCTAACCTACTAATCAATTATAAACATATATAAAGTCAAATACACATTTATAAAGCTTTTAAGAAGCTTCATGATAAGATAATATCAAATTTTTTTACATTTTTCTTCTATCTAATAATTCTTATTTAAGTAATTATACATGTCTATGACATTATCTCTTTATCTTGTAACAAGTTCTAGAAAGAGCAGTTGTCATATGTCGATGAAGTCGAAGATGCGATGAATTGTATTTGTCACATATTCTAATCTTTATTCTTTTTGAAGAAGTTTAACAGGTCTTTTCAGCCATTGATAATGTCTCATTCTAAGGTAGAAAAACTACCTTGTTATTTGATCATTGTTGAGGTCTTCATAACTTCCTTCAAATAAAATATTTGTAAGACCATTTGGAGTCATTTCTATTTCTAATAAAATCACCAAATATTGAAAATATCTTCCAACATCATAATATCAAACGTGTTATAGTTCACCATCTATTTGAAGAAGAACTTGTTGTTCTTGAGGGTCTTTATCTTGATTACATTATCTTAAAGGCCATAATAATTGTAATATTTCATCCAATAAGTCGACAAATGATAGTTCTTGAATTGAATCTATTGATTATTGATTCTCTATCTCACTAGCATCACAAATACACATAAACTATAAACAAAGATAAAATGTAAAATACTATCTTATATGAATTCCATTTCTTTTATAGTAAAGATTTTTTATTCTTAATCTTAGTTTTGATGGATATCTTTGTTTAAAAGCATTAATTTTTTTTGCTACATTTGTAAGATTCTTAGTTGGCTCCTATAAGTATTTATTAATATCATAGAAATATTTTTCTTCTTCTCAAGTTATTTACTATCATATATGTTACAAATATATTATAAAAGAGACCATATAAGAAATTGAATAGAAGAATTTTAAGAAAAAAACTAGCAAGAACTTGATTAAATGAAATCAGAACAAGTTCAACACCAAGAGAGATATAGTAGAGCTTTAAGAGATATGTTGTACCTTCATTATTGAACTTGCTTGATGAAGATTGAATCAACAATCAATGTTGATTTCATTGCTTTAAGATGAAAATGCTTCAACTTTAAGAAAATTATTCTTTGTTAATCAAAAGCTGCATTCTTGCTTTAGATGCAAGATAAGAATTTTAAGAAATGGGGTTTAAAAACCTTATTGTTTTTTGGCTAGATAAGTAATCTTCAAATAAAATATTGATAAAGGCATGCTCCAAGAAATTTGGTGAGGATTCAAAATATGAGTCAATATGAAGTCCTTGAAATTCTTCTGATTTGTATATACAATGACTAGACTAAAAGTACCTTTTAGATAATGATGCCATTCTTCAAATGAATCTAGGATTACAATAGTCTCTTTTTTGTGAATTTCATAATTAATATCGATTGCAAAAAAATTTCTAGAATGAAAAGTAATCAAATAGAATTAATATATGTTTCTTATTATAATAGCAACATACTTTTAGCGAAGTCTGATATATTAATTTTTCATAAAGAATACTTTAGAAAAATAGATGCAATAGAAGTTTGATATTTTGTACATTCAATAAAAAGATTTTAAAAAGATTTTTAGAATATTTTGTAAAGTTTTAGAAGGTTTTAAAAGATTCTTAAAATATTCTATTAAGAGATTTTAGAAATATTTGTAGAATATTTTAGAAGGTTCTAAAAGGTTCTCAAAATATTTTAGCAGATTTTTAAAAGTTTTAGGAAGATTAAAAAAAGTTGTTTAAGAAGCTTTTTCTTCAAGCAATATGAAAACTTCTCGAAAAGATACCTAATATATATATATATATATATATATATATATATATTGGAATTGAGATTGAAGGGATTCTTAGTCTTAACATTAAATGTCAAGGACATAAATTTAAAAGAAAGAAATCCTTAATATACTCTTATGTCACTCAAAAGAACTAAAAAATCACTCAAAAGTGATATAGTATTAATCTAGAATGATTATTGCTAAAGATAAGAAGACTAGAAAGTCTTGAAATAAGACTAAAGACTAAAAAGGTGTTGACAAGAGTGAAGAAGGCTTTACTCTTGCCTCCATATATACTCTTAACTAAGAGCTACCTCGCAATGTCCTATAACACCTCCAAAACATGTTGACTTTGTAAGATACATATCTTAATTTTCAAGGAAAGTTTTCTATATGTATGCCACATAATTAGCTTATTTTGCAAGCTA